CCCCAAAACCCCAAAACCCCAAAACCCCTCAATATTTCTTATATATTGATAAATTAATTTTCTGATATGGTCAACTGGCATTACGATAGTGCAGGCTTTTTAGTCTGCTGAGGAATCACAGAGGTGGCTTGTATTCTAGGTAAGGTAGCTAGACAATGGCATTTCAGAGTTTTCGACCAGCTGCCTGATCTGGAAGCCAGAGTCGTCATATCTTAATAAGTAGCTATTTGTAAATGAATTTTAATATTTTCAGTACTTGCTAACCTTATGGTCATAATTTTGAGTTTTTGAGAATCTGACAAAACTAAAGTAATATTCTGAGTCTGAATTTATCATTTATTGTACCTAAATATTCAATATTTATCTTAAACAGACTTGGAAGGTCGTTTTCTTAATAATCATTCTAAATTTTTGATACACCTTAATGACTTAGTAACAGAAAGGGAAAGAGTCCAAGAAGAACTTTACCTCAAAATAAATATATCTCACTGGGCTTCACTCATAAAGAACATTCTTATCTTTGGTTTGCAAGAATATTGCATCTAAGTCATAAGTATACAAGTGAAATCTTACTTTTTAAATTTTTTTTTCTCATGGTTTTATAGCCCTGATAATGTTATTCATCAACATGCGTAAGCACTATTATGCCGAGTACTCCGCCGAGTCTAAAGTTGCTATGTTCATCTCATTTGTAACATTGGGGGTGATCCTGGTCTTGATCATGATTGCTTCTCCAGTCTACAAAGGCGCCAGTGTATTCCTGATCGTCATCAACATCCTGAACAGTTTGTTCATCCTTTCGTTCTACTTGTTGGTGTCTGAGAAGCTGACATTTTACTTGTGGAAGTTCTGCACAGAGTATCCAGCCATGAAGAGGAGGATCGTTCAGGAAAGGATTCCTTGACAGAAAATGTAAGACTTGGGTTTTACCATTATAGGTTCAAATATCAATATCCCATGACAGAGCTAGAAGTCTTTGACAGACTTGAGATCAGGAACTATTTCATGAAATACTGTTACCTGCTCGAAGGAAGAAGTCGAGCTCTGTATTTTTGCTCCTTCAACATCAAGACTTATGCTGAAGCGCATAGTTTTGTGAGAGAAAGTATGATAATTCTCTTTATCTACATTACAACGGTTCCGATTGCGATGATTGTGGAGGTTGGTATAGGAGCTGCCAACCCGACTGGATCTGGAGAGCTTTCCTTTAAATCTTCAATTAGGATCTACATTATGGTTATAACAACGATAGCTTCTGTGTGCCTGAGGAACTTCTGAAGTAGTTTCAGTAGAATATTACCTTTCAACAACTTCGGGATAATTCTGATGAGCTTGGCACAAATCAAGCTCTTCTTTGATTTTTCAGGATCCATTCTGAAAGCATCAGCATGGAGACTTGGTGAGATAAATGAGCTTGATACGTACAGGTTAATCTTCATGTCTACTTTCGCAGTGTTCTGACTGGTTATAACTGTTGTCCAGTACTTCAAGCTTGATCCACAGAGTTTGGTCCTAGATTTTGGAACTTCAATGACTATAGATTTTACTTGGCATGACAGAGACCACCAGCTGAGTAAGTTTCTAAGTCAAGTATAGAAAATACTCATTCTGATTGAGACCAATCCTGGATGAGTGCACCTAGCTCGCCAGCTAAGTTTAGAAGGCTCCAAGACAGAGGGGCATTTGTAGATTTGTCCGATCAGCAAGAAACTCCACCTGAGCAATCTTTCTATAGAGATAACTTATGGACATTTAGCAACAAGAGTTCCATATCTGAATGCAATGGCCCAATAGAGCTTGGCAATAGGTGCTCTCAGCCTCTGTTGAATATCGATTTTGGTGAGTCTAAACAATAACTTTGGATCATATTCAGCTTAATTCTTAAATGTTAGAGGTGATATTTCAATTGACCCAACCTATCACGGGGTTTTGGGGTTTTGGGGTTTTGGGGG